GGAGGAGGAGGAGAGGGAGAGAGAGTTAGACACATGGACTCGCCTCGCACACGCCTCCACATCTCGATTGCTTTTGTTCGCAGGATCCACGCCACAGGTAACTTTCCCACCTGGTGCCGGTCACGATCGTTACGAGGAGAATTTCAATGGACCAGCGACGTATGCGGAGCCGTACGTCGAGCGTTACGGTATTAAGAGCGATTTCAGCGGTCGAGAACCATTACATCCCACGCCACCTCGACCCGGTTACGTGCCCACCTTGGGCCAGACGCCACCTTCGAGCACGCAGGGATCCGTGATGATGGTCTACGGGCTGCAACCGGATAAAGTCAACACGGACAAACTGTTCAACTTGTTCTGCCTGTATGGAAATGTCACGAAGGTACGTACGAAGGTGGTTTTCCATTACTGTTCACTGTGGTTGGATAAAGACCGCTGGGTGAAATTTGTTAGGGGTTGTTTTTGATAGGGAATTTGCCAAACGAGCGTCCGTGTTTCCCTGTTGAATTTCTTGTCTGGGTGAAAAGAAGGGGATGTATATGTGGATTAATGTCGATTATAATATCTTGATTCGATATGGGGGGTGCAAAGAAAGTGGTATGAAAGTTTGATGATGAGAAAGAAGAAAGGACAAATTGATGGTGATGTGATTATTCTGACGACTCGATTTTGGTAACAGGGAGCTCTGAATAAATTAAATTCCAATTTGAATCTCGTTAATTAACGTTAACTACATTTTGACCGTAGCACAAAGAAAAGTATGAAAATTTGACGAAGTTGGAGGATGGGATAAGGAGATAAAGAAACGACGACACGAATCGATGATATAAGCTATTCAATTTCTCTCTTTCTAAGCGGAGGAAGAGATTTTAGATTCGAATCTTGTCGTCGTGCGAAATAACGTTGATGTAAAAATTTTTTTGGAAAAGATGAAGCGAGAATTACCCTCTCCTCCGATTGATCCTCTTCAACAATTCTGAACCGAAGGTTCGATGAACAAAAATGCGTCGATGATTGCACAACAGGTGAAGTTTTTGAAGACGAAAGAGGGCTGCGCAATGATCCAGATGGGCGACAGCATAGCCGTGGAACGTTGCCTACAGAATCTGAACAACGTGACGATCGGTACAGACGGAAGGTTGCAGCTCGGTTTCTCGAAGCAGGCTTTCCTCTCGGACGTCACCAATCCCTACATTCTGCCCGACAAGACAGCGAGCTTCAAAGATTTCACAGGAAGCAAGAATAACAGGTACGAGATCGAACAATCTATCTATCTTAAAATTCCCTCGATTCCATTATTCCGCTTGTTACCTTTCGTAACTCGATGTGCTTCTCGTTCATCATTGTTTTCCACTTAATTCTATAAATTCGATCGTTGAACAAAAAATTTGTATTTGTTCTTCCGATCAAATTGATTCTCTCGAATCGATCGTCGATGATCCGAAATCAATTGGAAATCTCGACGCTGATGAATGAACGTTAACGAGAGAGAGAAAGAGAGATTTTATGGTATCCAAAGAACTGGAGAACGAACGTTTCGCATTGACGAACACGTTTCTTGTGGAAACGGAACAACGGAGCGCAATTAACGACGCTCCTACTTCCGGAGATTTCGAGCTCCACTTCTCGGACGGGTTTAATATTTATTTGATGAGAATTTAATCGCGGCTGGAGATTTTAGATTTTAGATCTCTTGTTTGCGGCCATTTTTCTTTCTCTCTCTCTCTCTCTGTCCATCGATTACACGTACTTATTGCGAACGAATTAATCACGAAGAGATGAATTTCGAAGTGTTGGAATTTTGTACTCGAAACACGTAAATCGATTCGATGGAAATTCAAATTCACCGACATTCTTGTTTTAAGCCACGCGACACACAGTATACTTTGTTTTCGCGTGCGTAATATTAATACGTGTGATGCGGTTTGCATTTTAATTCGCCGCGCGCTAATTAAATAATCGGATGGAACGGCGAAGATTTATTGAAACTCGCGATAAACGAATTTGTTGACTGGTTTAATCGAAGGGTCAATTCGTTGTTTCCTCGATTTCAGGTTCCTAAATCCAGCGATGGCCAATAAAAATAGAATACAACCACCCTCGAAGATAGTCCACTTTTTCAACACGCCCCCGGATTTAACCGAGGAGACCGTGCATCGTGTGTTCGTGGAACGCGGTATCGAGGCGCCTACGACGGTCAAACTGTTCCCCCTTAAATCGGAACGATCGTCGTCCGGCCTCATCGAGTTCAGCAGCGTCGGAATCGCGGTAGCTGCCATCATGGAATGCAATCACACAGCATTGGAAAACAGCAGTGAGTATCCACACACAAATTTTCTTCCGTCGAAAATTAATCATTCAATCCTTCTGCTTCCCAAAATAATCCTCTTCACACGCGTTAGTAAATTATTGCCGACGCTCGTGAGAGAATTTTCAGAATTATAACTAATTAGATCTTCGAGTTTGTTAACTCTCGTACGATATGACGAGCGATTATTGAACTTTCTTTGGAGACGTAGCATCGATATTTCCCGTCAATTTCTCTTTTCGAAACGTGTAAACGCTGCACACGAGACGCGAACTTAATCGCTTAACTTATCTATGAAACGAGAAGGCCGATCTGATTATATCCCCGGTCCTCCCCCTCTTCTTTTCCAGATGGCAAATTCCCGTACATCATGAAACTGTGCTTCTCGTCGTCGCGCACCATACCAACGAGTTTCCCGCCCAGCAGCGGCAGCACGTCGAGCAATTCCGCCGGTAATGGCCACGTCAAAATGCAGCAGGACTCGGAATAGAACGGCGAGGTCCAGGGCCAGCAGCGTCAGCGTCAGCGCCAGCGTCCCTCTCTCGCCCTGCACCCGTTGTGTGCCCCGACGGGCACGGCCCTGCACCCAGCCGCAGCGATTACACTCTCCCCGGTCTTACCGCCGCCCGTGCCGCCTCCCTTGCCGCCCACCTGCGTTCTGATCGCCACTCCAACTCTCTATCCTACCGTGCCGCCGCCACCACCGCCTCCGTTGCCTACGTTCTGGCCGTACTGATGAGAAGAGCAGCGGGCCTATTCGCCGGACGAGGCAAACACGGAAAAAAGAAAAAAATATATATGTATATATATATATACGTATACACGTATGTATATGCATATATATATGTATGTATGTATGTATGTGTGTGTGTGTATGTATGTGCGTATACGCCACGCGCTTGTCCTCGAATATTCATATTCTACTGCTGCTACTGAATATCTTTTATTATTACTACTACCGTCACTATCTCCTCCTCGCCGCGTGGTGACCAATCTGGCAAAGATCAGACGCTGGTCGCTGGAACAAGAATCCATTCGAGGTTTCCGTTCGAGGCGTCAGCAGCGGGCCGGAGCAGCTCGGCCTCGAGAAGGACTAAATGAGTAAATCGAGTGAGAGTTTCCTCGCTGGGAAATGCGATCCCGCGGCGTCGGCGGGATCTCGTCGTCGTCGACAGGGTGGAACGCGGAACGGCACGAGCGAGCTACACGAAGGTCATCGAGGATCGTCCGCATCGGCTGGATCGAAACGAAAGAGTCTATATAAAAGGCGAGGCATCGAGGGGCATCGATGTCTGCGCTCTCTACTTATTTTCCTTTTTATCTCTCCTTTGCTTTTTGCCCTCTCTCTCCGTATCACCGTACGTACTACTACGCACTCTTCCTTCTTCTTCTTCTTCTTCTTCTTCTTCTGTGTACTGTTTTTCGTTCTTCGCTTCTTTTCTTTTCATCTTCATTTTTTCCCTCTCTTTCGCCGCTCGTTTCGATCTCATCATCCCCCGTTTCGTTTCTTCTTTCCTCCTTGCGTTGCTTTCGGCGAGGTCCGGGTATACGTGCTTAGTCCGTACTGCGGAGATCCCGTTGCGTGTAGTAGAGTGTGTCAGTATTAACAACGAATCCTCGAGCGTTAGAATTCGCTTCGACGAAGAAAACACGGAGCAACGGTGAACCGTTCTTCCTTCGTGCGAGGAACGACGAGGAATGCGAGCGAATATTTATGCGAGGATTCGATTCGTAACCTTCGTGGAAGCTTGTTTATTTCTGTTAGACGCGAGGATCGATCGTGAGAAATTGTCTTTTGTGTGTGTGTGTGTGTGTGTGTGTGTGTGTGTGTGTGTGTGTTTATATATATATATATATATATTA